TAGAGAGAGAGAGAGAGAGAGACTTTACAGTGGTGTTCAGCAGCAGAAGGAGAAGTAGCATCTGGCATTTATTATACTTAATTAAAACATTTCAACACTATCCAACACACAAGAAACATGTCCATTTATACACAATGAATCAGAAGGACCTGATGCGTCTATAGAAAATATAGAGAAAAGCTGTACAACTTTTGCCTTATTCAAAAACAAAAATTGCCTAATTTCATCTTCATTGTTTCCTACCCAGTGCTCTAAACTCGCACTGTATCTAGTGCTGCCCAATCCCCCAATATATGCACCTAAGCCATTCAACTTTACCATTGTGATCATTACTGTCATCTTTTATATGCTATCAATATGCTTTATTGTGCCTACTAATCTTTCAAATTATCAATCTAGCCATCAATGCTATCAAAGTTATCAATGTGCTTTAATATACCCACTAATCTCTCTCAAAGTTTTCTTACAATGTATCTGTTAACGTTTTATAAATTTTGCTACAATTTACCTACTTAATATTATCTGTTAGATTAAGGACCTGCCGGAAACGCTGTGCGTACTAGTGGCTCCACAAGATTCAAATTCAGAATGTAAACACATCACACTATATACTCTCACAAACCCAATGTACCTTCTTATATTATATATATATATATATATATATATATATATATATATATATATATATATATATATATATATATATATATATATATATATATATACATAGTTATACTTAAGCATACTTAGGTATACCTGTGGGTAATCTGGTGTACCTGTGGGGAGTCTGGTGTACCTGTGGGGAGTCACATGTTTCAAAGAATACACACGTGATAGAAGACACATGGCCAGCCCTACATATGAATACAGTACCGAGGAAACATGTATCTGTGGTTTTACAAATAAAAGTATACATACATACATACAAAGACAGCCAGACACGACTACATGTATGATCCACACACACACACACACACACACACACACACACACACACACACACACACACACACACACACACACGAAACAGGAATATATCTACAAGTTTGATAGATATATTCAGCAGGCAATGAAATGTATGTCTACATAAGACGTGAAGAATACATCTGTAAATAAAAATAGACAGATATACACGATATATATACAAATATTGTACCTTGAAAAGAGACTGGTAATCGCAGTGTAAAAAATGAATGTCCACCGAGACACACACATGCTGTAACTTATACAAGTAAATAATACGACATGAAATGTACACACCACAATATATACACAATATACACCATGTGAAATACATATGCTGTTATAAATACGTATTTTAATACAAAATACTTGCGCTGAAAAACATACACAGGATAAACCGGGACTAAATTACTTTTAAATTGCAGAATCATACAATTCTTGACACAACTGTACAATAATATATAATAATATATATATATATATATATATATATATATATATATATATATATATATATATATATATATATATATATATATATAAGTGTGTGTGTACATTCATATACACGTATGTATGTTAGGACTTTGAGTGAACTACGGTTAAAAAATACAACTCAGCAAAATTGTATCCAACATGATAAGATATACACCTGCTGTGGTGAATTTATAAAGAAATTACACTAACAATTAATTATCTATTATTTGTACACACTGTTCTTTAAATTCCCCTTCAAACATATACAAAACTTGTACGTAGGTAAATTGTAAAGAAATACAATAGTGACCATTAATACACACACACACACACACACACACACACACACACACACACACACACCACACACACACACACACACACACACACACACACACACACACACACACACGAGTGATGAGGTTGGCAAATCTTGGTCAATAAGACAAGACCTCTAGAGAAAAGCTGAAAATGAACTTAATTGAGGCAAAACGTCTAAATGGGGATAGAAATGAAGAAGACAGAAATTCTTTTTTTTACAAAGTGACAGGGACTGGAAAGCTTGTGAAATGGTACATAAAAACAAAGCAACAAGATCAGTAGTGGAAGGGGGAGTAAAGAGCAAAGGAAAAGGGAACATGTTCCTGAAAATTGTATATACCAACATAGATGGAGTGAGGTCAAAAACTTTGGAGTTGCAAGATATAATCCAGCTTAGGGTCCCAGATATTGTTGCATTATCAGAAACGAAACTTGAAGGAAATATAATAAATGAAGTCATATTCCCAAGAGGCTACTCAGTTTGGAGACGTGACAGGAAAACTAGGAAGGGAGGAGGAGTGGCTGTACTGGTGAAAAAACACCTGAAGGTAAAAGAGTTAATATTTGAAAACCCTCGAGATATTGACATAATGGCATTGCAGGTCTGGAATCAGGATGATAACCTGATAATTGTAAATACCTACAGCCCACCAGCAAGCAACACGTGGACAAAGGAAGAACTGGATGACAAACGAGAGGGCCTCATAATGGTCATGAGAGATATTATTGTACAAGCAGATAAAGATAAATCACGACTGTTGATACTGGGGGACTTCAACTTTAGAGCAATAGACTGGGAGGCCTATGAAGCAAGAACGGAGGACTTTTGGACATGCAGATTTGTGAACCTCATTCTGGAGACATTCTTGTATCAACACATAAAGCAAGCCACAAGAATGAGGGAAGGAGATATACCGTCAGTACTGGATCTAGTATTCACCAGGAAAGAAGAAGAGATTTTTGACATCCAGTACCTTCCTCCCTTGGGAAAGAGTGATCACGTCCTGTTAGACATTAAATATGCTTTAAGATATCATCTAGAAGAAAATGGGGACATTGAAACAGTTGATAAACTCGATTTAAAGAGAGGCAACTATGGGGAACTTCGAAATTTTTTTAATGAGTGTAATTGGACAGAATTGTTGCTAGGCAGGGAAGTAAATGAAATGTATGCCAAATTTTTAAAACTATACGAGGAAGGCACACAAACATTCATACCAAAACAGAGATGCAGGACCAAAAAACAGGATTGGTTCGACAGAAATTGTGAGAGGGCAAGAGACCAAAAGACACAAAAATGGAATCAGTATAGGAAGAGGCCAAACCCCCAAACATACCAGCGATACAAAGATGCGAGAAACAATTATACAGCAGTAAGGAGAGAGGCAGAAAGAAATTTTGAAAAAGGGATAGCAGATAAATGTAAAACAGAACCGGGCCTATTCTACAAATTCATAAACAACAAATTGCAGGTAAAGGATAATATCCAGAGGTTGGAAATGGGAAACAGATTCACGGAAAATGAAAAGGAAATGTGTGAAACATTAAATGAAAAGTTCCAAAGTGTGTTTGTACAAAATGAAATCTTCAGAGAACCAGACACAATAAGAATTCCAGAGAACAACATAGAGCGGATAGAGGTGTCTAGAGATGAAGTGGAAAATATGCTAAAGGAGCTCGGGAGGAACAAAGCAGCTGGCCCAGATGGCGTTTCACCATGGGTTCTGAGAGAATGTGCATCTGAGCTCAGCATTCCACTTCACCTGATCTTTCAGGCATCCCTGTGTACAGGAATCGTAGCAGACGTGTGGAAACAGGCTAACATAGTTCCAATCTACAAAAGTGGCAGCAGGGAAGACCCCCTCAATTATAGACCTGTATCATTGACAAGTGTAATAGTGAAAGTATTGGAAAAGCTAATCAAAACTAAATGGGTAGAACACCTGGAGAGAAATGATATAATATCAGACAGACAGTATGGTTTTCGATCAGGAAGATCCTGTGTATCGAATTTACTCAGTTTCTATGATCGGGCCACAGAGATATTACAGGAAAGAGATGGCTGGGTTGACTGCATCTATCTGGACCTAAAAAAGGCTTTCGACAGAGTTCCACATAAGAGGTTGTTCTGGAAACTGGAAAATATTGGAGGGGTGACAGGTAAGCTTCTATCATGGATGAAAAATTTTCTGACTGATAGAAAAATGAGGGCAGTAATCAGAGGCAATGTATCGGAATGGAGAAATGTCACAAGTGGAGTACCACAGGGTTCAGTTCTTGCACCAGTGATGTTTATTGTGTACATAAATGATCTACCAGTTGGTATACAGAATTATATGAACATGTTTGCTGATGATGCTAAGATAATAGGAAGGATAAGAAATTTAGATGATTGTCATGCCCTTCAAGAAGACCTGGACAAAATAAGTATATGGAGCACCACTTGGCAAATGGAATTTAATGTTAATAAATGTCATGTTATGGAATGTGGAATAGGAGAACATAGACCCCACACAACCTATATATTATGTGAGAAATCTTTAAAGAATTCTGATAAAGAAAGAGATCTAGGAGTGGTTCTAGATAGAAAACTATCACCTGAGGACCACATTAAGAATATTGTGCAAGGAGCCTATGCAATGCTTTCTAACTTCAGAATTGCATTTAAATACATGGATGGCGATATACTAAAGAAGTTGTTCATGACTTTTGTTAGGCCAAAGCTAGAATATGCAGCTGTTGTGTGGTGCCCATATCTTAAGAAGCACATCAACAAACTGGAAAAGGTGCAAAGACATGCTACTAAGTGGCTCCCAGAACTGAAGGGCAAGAGCTACGAGGAGAGGTTAGAAGCATTAAATATGCCAAAACTAGAAGACAGAAGAAAAAGAGGTGATATGATCACTACGTACAAAATAGTAACAGGAATTGATAAAATCGACAGGGAAGACTTCCTGAGACCTGGAACTTCAAGAACAAGAGGCCATAGATTTAAACTAGCTAAACACAGATGCCGAAGAAATATAAGAAAATTCACCTTCGCAAATAGAGTGGTAGACGGTTGGAACAAGTTAAGTGAGAAGGTGGTGGAGGCCAAGACCGTCAGTAGTTTCAAAGCGTTATATGACAAAGAGTGCTGGGAAGACGGGACACCACGAGCGTAGCTCTCATCCTGTAACTACACTTAGGTAATTACACTTAGGTAATTACACACACACACGAAATTGTACATAATATATTTTTCTTGATTTCTGTCACATATTACAGTATATTTATATTTAAGGTGAGAAGAGTTGTGTGACTACATAGTCACCAGAAAGACTATGGCAGCAGTCACTATGGCGAGGAGCCTTCGGTCTCTGATCAGGGCTTTGGGACCTGTAGGGAGAGAGAGACAATGTTAGGCTTGGTTAAACTGCCATTAGCAATGGTGATGGTCTGGATGGACCAGGTGTGGTCTGGGTGGACCAGGTGTGGTCTGGAGGGACCAGGTGTGGTCTGGGTGAACCAGGTGTGGTCTGGGTGGACCAGGTGTGGTCTGGGTGGACCAGGTGTGGTCTGGGTGGACCAGGTGTGGTCTGGGTGGACCAGGTGTGGTCTGGAGGGACCAGGTGTGGTCTGGGTGGACCAGGTGTGGTCTGGGTGGACCAGGTGTGGTCTGGGTGGACCAGGTGTGGTCTGGAGGGACCAGGTGTGGTCTGGAGGGACCAGGTGTGGTCTGGAGGGACCAGGTGTGGTCTGGAGGGACCAGAGCATACTTCTCCCCTGCAAAGTGTGGGGGAGATCCGGGCCCCTACCCCCCCCCCCCCCAGCCCTATATAGCGTGGTGTGGTGGTGTGGGAGGAGGGGGGAGGTCAGGTCCATTACCCCCCCCCTCCTCTCCAAGCAGTCTACAGTGTACATGTTTACACAGACAGGTGCGGTATACCCCCAGACTACCGGGAACTAACCAGACATTTGCATAATTGTTGACTGTTTACCTTCTTTTGGGGAGCAGATAAGGGATGCTTCGGTGCAAGAATGGCACGTCTCGTATGACCAGCCTCCTTGCACATACCGACAGTCACTCAGTACTAAACCTATTTAGGCTCAGAATTACCTAAGATCACTAACAAAACCGCTAATTAGAAGCATCATCACTCAATGATGTTAGTTCAATGAGTGACATCAGTTGCTGTAAATACTGACTTTACTAGTGGCATTGTGTGGGGCCAGGCGATCACACACTACGTCAGCCAGCCCAGAGCTGCTTCATGATGATGGGCCGACGTCGGTGGTGGTGCTGGCACCGCCACCGTGGGAGCCGAGCGGACAGCACGCTGGACTTGTGATCCTGTGGTCCTGGGTTCGATCCCAGGCGCCGGCGAGAAACAATGGGCAGAGTTTCTCTCACCCTATGCCCCTGTTACCTAGCAGTAAAATAGGTACCTGGGTGTTAGTCAGCTGTCACGGGCTGCTTCCTGGGGGTGGAGGCCTGGTCGAGGACCGGGCCGCGGGGACACTAAAAAAAAAGCCCCGAAATCATCTCAAGATCTCTCAAGATAGCCACGGCACTCAACGTGGGGCGACTCTGTAGTCTTTCCCGAGTGGCTGGGGGCGCACGCTCGACAATGTGATTGGCTGCCTTGATACGCTTGACACACACTGGAGTTGTGAGTAGGTTTAATGCGCTACACAGATGACACCGGATCAGAGGAAGTTCATTTCATTCACAGCTTCAAACGTAGACATAAGCCGTCGGGTGAAGTCTTACCCCACACCTTAAAGACGGGTCCCAGGAGCTTGACATCAGCCCCCATACACACAGGAAATTCTGTTCTCTCTTTTATAGATTTGTTGTAAAGACCGTGAGATTGGCTCTGGCGGAGGTCAGGGAATGGATGGGACGAAAACTTGACCTCTCACTTGACTCCACAGGAACCACAGTGTCTCCTCTAAAGACTTCACTGGTAAAATGAGTCTTCCTCCAACACCACCTCCTCCTCCTCCTCCACCACCTCCAACACCTCCTCCTCCACCACCTCCAACACACTAACCTCGCCACAACATAACAATATTGAAAATCTATCGTTCTCGGCGCCAGCACTGATGTGGCCACCTAAGGGAGCCCGCGTGCAGGCATGGGATGAGTACACTGAGTTATGAGGCCAGGAGGTGAGTCAACACTCACTGGCCAGGAGGTGAGTCAGCACTCACTGGCCAGGTGGTGGGTCAGCACTCACTGCTTGGCTGCCAACTGGCCACAGACTGGCAGTAACTCTATAAAGAGTGAGCAGACTTGCCATTGAAATAACATTAACTGGAAGAGAGGGAACAGTTACCTGGTGGAGACACCCCCCCCCCACACCCCCACCATCTACACCACTCACAACCCCTGAGAACAACCACTCACCTGCAGAATGGTAGTTGTCGACGTAGGATATCATTCTGACCCTGACACGAAGAGTCTTGAAGGTGCTGGTGTGGTGGGGCCCCAGACTAAGGCGACACTCCGCCTCCACACTCCCGCCAGCAGACGCTACCTGAGGAGTGGTGGACACTTTAGTACAAGCAGACTGTTGTACTCCACCACCCGCACACCTCCACCACCACCAGCAGTAGTAGCAGCAGTAGAAGCAGCAGCAGGAACAGTGGTGATAATACCTGCAAGAGAAGTATAAAATAAACAATTACTAAAACAAGTGTATGGGAAGAAAGGGCAGACATTCCAGAACTAGAAGTCACAAGCTAAAATTTTATCTGCTGTCAACACCTGGCTAATGTCTCTCGTACCTGTCCATCACCTGTCTGTCCTATTGTGACGTGACCTGTCTTACCTCTTGGTGTGAGCTGTGTGTGATGGAGCCCCCTGTCTGTCTGAGAGAAAGGGGGGGGGGAGGGGGTAGTCTGGTCTGTTCTTTCCATTAACCTCCATTCTCTCGGTCTGTGTCTAAGTTTAACACACACACACAATGGAGTACAGGGACCAAAGGGTGGTTGAGAGGCGGGACCAAAGAGCCAGAGCTCAACCCCCCCCCCACCGCAAGCACAACTAGGTGAGTATACACATACTCAGGGATGGCAAATCATGCCTCACAGGATTAATTTAATTCTACGACCAGGCAACAAAAATCAGGCAAGAAAGAGAGGGGTGGGCAGACTGCATATTTTTGGATTGCCAGAAAGCCTTTGACACAGTACCACATAAGATACTAGTGCACAAGCTGGAGATGCAGGCAGGAGTGAAAGGGAAGGTACTCCACTGGATAAGGGAGTACCTAAGCAACAGAAGACAGCGAGTCACTGTGAGGGGTGAGGTCTAGGAGTGTCGAGGCGTCACCAGTGGAGTCCCATAGGGATCAGTCCTTGGACCTATACTGTTTCTGATATATGTAAATGATCTCCCAGAGAGAATAGGCTCGTTCTATTCTCTCGAATCTTTTTAAAATAATTGGGATCGGGTGTGCTCAACAGATGGCGCCGACACTGTCACACCACCTCCCCCACACCCACACCCACACCCACACCTACACCCACACCTACACCCACACCCACACCTACACCCACACCTACACCTACACCCACACCTACACCCACCTCCCCCACACACAACAGATGGAAATATAACCAGTTGAAATTTATGCAGGAGCTCTCAGCTCCGGTGCTCCGTCCCGGGGATTATCCCAGGTATTCATGAAGGATTTTATCCCGTGCTTGAGACCAGGGCTAGGAGGCTAGGAGCAACCTGCTAGCAGGCTAGGAGGAACCTGCCAGGAGGCTAGGAGGAACCTGCTAGGAGGCTAGGAGGAACCTGCTAGGAGGCTAGGAGGAACCTGCTAGCAGGCTAGGAGGAACCTGCCAGGAGGCTAGGAGGAACCTGCTAGCAGGCTAGGAGGAACCTGCTAGGAGGCTAGGAGCAACCTGCTAGCAGGCTAGGAGGAACCTGCCAGGAGGCTAGGAGGAACCTGCTAGCAGGCTAGGAGGAACCTGCCAGGAGGCTAGGAGCAACCTGCTAGCAGGCTAGGAGGAACCTGCCAGGAGGCTAGGAGGAACCTGCCAGGAGGCTAGGAGGAACCTGCTAGCAGGCTAGGAGGAACCTGCCAGGAGGCTAGGAGGAACCTGCTAGCAGGCTAGGAGGAACCTGCCAGGAGGCTAGTAGGAACTGCAGGTCAAGACCTGCAGGTGTGGCACACCACCAATAAGATGGCTGTCTCTTCCTCTATACATTCCTTCAACTCAATATCTACTTTTATAAATATTTACTATTTAATTATTAATAAGATTCATTCATTCTAAGTTAATATTAATTGTACGTTTTTATGCTTATATGTTTTATTGATTTATATATATTATATATTCTTGTACATAATTATAGTAATAACGAGAGTGTTATTACTAATACATTAGTCTTGCTTTAAGTTCGATATAACATCCCGTTTTCTTCGATATAAGAGTAAAGATTCCCATTTTCGTTACAGACATCAGAGTCTCAAGATAAGGTTCACTGTCCCGTTTTCTTCTAGCGGATTTCCTCACTTTACTTCCCAGGAAGAACTTTGTCACACCAAAAATCATGACATTTCACAAACTTCTCACCTGCGTCTTCCTCGGGAGGGCCTAAAACTGTGCCACAATGAACATGATGACATTATATACTTCGCCCACAACATGTTATCTCTTATTTTCCTTAAGTTAGGTTAGATTTGTTTTATAGAGTAGTGACGACGTAAAGGGTATATACTTTTCTCCAAACCGTTCTCGCACTTGCTTATAGTCAATATTGGCTTATTTAATAAGTGCATATGTGACTGTGCATATGTACCTAGTCAACGACAGGGCCGCGGGGACGCTAAGCCCCGGAACCACCTCAAGGTAACCTCAATGTAAGGCGACATACTAATTGATTGTGAATATTTTAGTTTACCTTGAAAAGCTTCATAGAAAACACCGACGTCAGGTCGTAACCCATATTCAACTATTTGCTCCGGCCGGATGCAATCAGCTGAGTGTGTTGCTATCGTGGAAATAATACCACGGGTAAATTACCACGAGACGAGACAAAAGGCGGTCAATGACGGACACCTTCACAGGCCGCCAGTCTCTACGGGACCCGAGGGATGGATACCAAAACGCCATTCAAATGAAATTGATTTGTGTGGCGTTGTGGGTATGTTAGTTTGGGTGAGAGAGGGAGGAGGTACAGACAGGCCCGAGTAGGAGCCCGGGGCCAACTTCTTACACTCTCAACCACTTCGGCATTTGTTCTATATAATTATTTTTATAGAGTTGACTGAGCAAGAGAGAAGAGCGGCTTGAAAAAAACACCAATATTTTACTTCGTCTCATTGGTCAGATTGTGATAGAAATGTTGTGTAGTTTTGTTATAATAATAATTTATTATGTCGGGGGACAGGCAGCCAGTGTATATTTTATACCTTAGGCTTATATCGATTTCCCCTCTCCCCCCCCAAGGTCATATTACAGACTCCAGGATACAGCCCCACAACAAGGTGACTATATATACCTCTTGGGTACCTATATTTGCTACAAGGTGAACAGGTGCATTATGTAATAGAAACGTGCCCAATCATTTCTGTTCCGCTCGGGATTCGAACCCGGAATTCACAATTATGAGTCGAGAACGAAGGCGACTGCACCACGGGGAGCCTAAAACATGGTTATGGTGACATTAGAATATAAGTTAGTAATTAGAATGTCATTACATAAGTAATTACGTAAGTGATGTAATTAGAATGTACGGTACAAGACTGTAAGAACTCTTGTATGTATAAATGAAATTAACAAAAGCAATATAATACATTATTAAAGATAACATTAGTCAAGAGGGCCAGGGAGAAGTGGATGGACCGGTTCAATTTCTTTATTATGCACCCCATACCCATCCCGTGGGCGGTGGTGTAAAGGTTTACAGAGGCACATAACCGGGAAGGTCCCAGCACAAGTGCTGCACATTTGTACAACTGTTGTGTTGGAGGGTGAACCAAACCTTTGTAAACAGTAAGTTGTTGTACACATACTGGAGCCGGTCAGCCCATACCCGGGCTGTGGTGGGCCTGCGGGCCGCTCCAAGCAACAGCCTGGTGGACCAAACTCTCACAAGTCAAGCCTGGCCTCGGGCCGGGCTTGGGGAGTAGAAGAACTCCCAGAACCCCATCAACCAGGTATCAACCAGGTAACCAGCCCCTTCTCTTCATCTGCCACAACCAGCACAAAGTGCTAATGTAACCATAAACGTCAGAACCCAAGCCACCCACCTAACCTAACGGACCATGCATAGAAAACGTAGATATTTGTTAGCTGACTCACCAGGGAACATAGTGACTCACCTGCTGGCCCGGGACATGGAGAGACAGACCATAGTGGCCCCCGTGGTGTGAGGCGCCATACGGCTTGGTCCACTGAGGTCCCACCTGTAGGGAGAGACACACGTTACCTGACTGGCTGCCACTGAGTACACGTGCCGGGGAACCCTTACTTCCCGGGGCCCAGTCCCTATAGTGCTGCACTCGCTCAGGTCTATGGAGCGCCTGGCCCTCAAGGATCACCCAGACCTACCTTAGTACCCTCAAGGATCACCCAGACCTACCTTAGTGCCCTCAAGGGTCACCCAGACCTGCCTTACTGCCCTCAAGGGTCACCCAGACCTACCTTACTGCCCTCAAGGGTCACCCAGACCTACCTTAGTGCCCTCAAGGGTCACCCAGACCTACCTTAGTGCCCTCAAGGACCACCCAGACCTACCTTAGTACCCTCAAGGACCACCCAGACCTACCTTAGTACCCTCAAGGACCACCCAGACCTACCTTAGTACCCTCAAGGACCACCCAGACCTACCTTACTGCCCTCGAGGAACCACTGGAGAGTAGGCTTATGGTGGTCGAGGAAGGGCCGTCGAGGCTGACAACCGATCTTGATGAGCTCTGAGGGCTCGTAGATCTCCCTCCCGCCCATCAGGAGGGGCGGGGACAGGGCCTCTCCTGCCGGGGACAAGAACACCAAGGACAACATTAGCAGGACAGGTGATTCACGTCAGACCTCAGCACTCTAATGACGTCGTCTTTTTATTCATGAACTGTTCAAAAATGTTGGAAATTGTGAACCTGATGGTGCATAGTGTGGCGTCTTTGTCTTGAGGAGGAAGTCACGAGACTCGCCATCTATTGTTTGGTATGAATAACTAGGTGGGCACGCACACGCACACGCACACACACACACACACACACACACACACACACACACACACACACACACACACACACACACACACACACACACGCACGCACACACGCACACACACGCACACACACATATATATATATGTGTATGCAACCCGTTCTCGCACTTGCGTACAGTCAATATTGGCTTATTTAATAAGTGCATATGTGACATACTAATTGATTGTAAATATTTTAGTTTACCTTGAAAAGCTTCATAGAAAACACCGACCTCACCTAACCTTCTTAGTATGTTAAGATAAGCATCTTATTGCTTCTTATTTACAATTATTACTTAACCTATACCGTTGATAGGTTAAGTAATAATCACGGCCAAAGTTTTGACAACACGAGAAAAATCACAAGAAATTATATATTCTTCTCAAACGAAAAAATCTGATGAACTGAAAAATGTGGATGAAGTGAAAAGTTCGGATAAAACTGGCATAAACGGATGAAATGGGAAACTCGCAATATCCGAGTCCGCTGTTTGCTCCCCTGCTTCTGTCGTGTCCGGATAAAATGGAATATTCGGATAAAATATATGAATATAATAAAACAAAGCTTAATACAAACAGACAACACAAAGGAGTCATATATAATTACACTAAGTGATCATACACACACAAAGTGACAAAGTGATCATACACACACAAAGTGACAAAGTGATCATACACACACAAAGTGACAAAGTGATCATACACAAAGTGATCATACACAAAGTGATCATACACAAAGTGATCATACACAAAGTGATCATACACAAAGCGATGATACACACACAAAGTGATGATACACAAAGCGATCATACACACATACGGAGCCTAATGTACATGTGCAGTAATTATTCCTCAGGAGTATCTTGCCCTGACAATCAACAATAACAGGAGAAAGTTAACGTGGACAATTACCCCCAACAGCCTCCGGCCGCTGCTGGACTCATTACTGGCCAACCTTCCCGTGACAGGGATTGGTTGGGGATTAATTCACACTCAGACGATTAGCGAATTTTTAGTAAGAATAATGTTTGGAAAGGACAGAGAGAGAGAGAGAGAGAGAGAGAGAGAGAGAGAGAGAGAGAGAGAGAGAGAGAGAGAGAGAGAGAGAGAGAGAGAGAGAGAGAGAGAGAGAGAGAGAGAGAGATTTGTTATTGTTGCCGTCTGAGGTGGCTAGATTATTGTGCACCCCATACTCATCCTGTGAGCGGTAGCGCAAAAAGCATTACAGAGGGACACAAAAGGTCTTTATCAGAACTCATCTTAGATTATTACATAAACAATTTCATCTATCCTTCACACCTTATAATTACAATGTCAGCTAGTTACAGAGAATGTTCTGTTTCAAGAGCTATATAGTTACAGTAAGTCATTATACATTAATGGTAGGGGGGGGGGGGGAGGAGGGACCTCCAAGACCATCTTTACCTACCACCACCACCACCACCACCATTACCACTATTACCACCACTACCACCACCACCACCACTATTACCACCACTACCACCACCACCACCACCACCAGAACTAAGAGAGTTAATCTATGAAGATAGGATGAAGGAACTAGACCTCAAAACCTAGGATAGAAGAAACATAAGAAATATGATCACAACATACAAGATACTGAAGGAATAAGGTGGACAAGGAAAGCCTCTTTAAGTTGAGAGAAAGTAAGACAAGAAGACACAAGAGAAGCTGAAAACACAAATGTGTACAAGAAATGTAAGGAAATACTCGTACCTTGTACAGGTGGTCAATAGGTAGAATGTTCTGAGAGAAGTTGTGGAAGCCACTTCTATGGAGATCTTTAAGAACAAGTTCGGCAAAGATTGAACGTCACAATAGTCAAGTTATAGCGCAAAAGGTACAACATGGGTGGTAGGCCAGACACAGCAAGAGGTACAACATGGGTGGTAGGCCAGACACAGCAAGAGGTACAACATGGGTGGTAGGCCAGACACAGCAAGAGGTACAACATGGGTGGTAGGCCAGACACAGCAAGAGGTACAACATGGGTGGTAGGCCAGACACAGCAAGAGGGGAGGTACAAGGGTGGTAGGCCAGACACAGCAAGAGGTACAGCAAGACTGGTAGGCCAGACACAGCAAGAGGTACAGCAAGACTGGTAGGCCAGACACAGCAAGAGGTACAACATGGGTGGTAGGCCAGACACAGCAAGAGGTACAACATGGGTGGTAGGCCAGACACAGCAAGAGGTACAGCAAGACTGGTAGGCCAGACAGCAAGAGGTACAGCAAGACTGGTAGGCCAGACACAGCAAGAGGTACAACAAGGGTGGTAGGCCAGACACAGCAAGAGGGGAGGTACAAGGGTGGTAGGCCAGACACAGCAAGAGGGGAGGTACAAGGGTGGTAGGCCAGACACAGCAAGAGGGGAGGTACAAGGGTGGTAGGCCAGACACAGAGCCCCGTAGTCCCTGGTAAACATGACCACCACAACCCACAATATGATCAGCTTCCTCGTGTTCTTCTCCTCTCCTCCTGCTCTCTCTCCCACTTCTCTCCAGGTGTGTCTCTCACCCTCCTCTCCTCTCCTCCTCCTGCCCACCGTCGCAGGCAGCGTAGTTAAGACCGGCGCTACACGCACCCACTGTCGCTATCTCCGGCGCTGCTAATTTCCGGACACAGCCTCTAATCTCTCTCCTGGACCCGGCGCTCTGGGGAAGGGGAGGTGGGCAGGGGGGAGGGAGGCAGGGACTGGTCTGGGGTGAGGGGACTGGTCTGGGGTGAGGGGACTGGTCTGGGGTGAGGGGACTGGTCTGGGGTGAGGGGACTGGTCTGGGGTGAGGGGGACTGGTCTGGGGTGAGGGGACTGGTCTGGGGTGAGGGGACTGGTCTGGGGTGAGGGGACTGGTTCGGGGGGAGAGGGGACTGGTTAGGGGAAGGGGAGGCGGGCAGTGGGTACATTACCTAACTTTGGAAACCTCTCATGGATGCGACCAATGTTTACATTGAGTACATCATGAAAAGGTGCAACACCTGAGGTATGTGACAGTCCCCTTCGTGCAGTGCTAACACACACTCGCCCCGCGCTTCCCCCAGCAATTTGTCCTGGGTTCGTATCCTGGCCGGGGGAGGATTGACTAGGCGCCAATCTTTAATTGTACGCCTCTGTTCACCCAGCAATGAATGGGTACCTGGTTGTTAAACGATTTGGCAGGTCGTATTCCAGGAAAATTATATTAAGGACCTGCCCAAAATATTATGCGTGCTGGAGGCTTTATAAGAGTGTAAGAACTCTTGTATATATAAATAAAACACAATTACAACTCGCCAAGCAAGACTGGGATACCTTGACAGGTGGTCATTCACACAGGCTAAGATAGAGTCTACAGATGGAGCTAGAAGCTTGTTATTGGCGATTTCAATAAATAAAGGATAACTAGGAAAAACTGAAGACCAGCCAACTACCTCCAACCCTGTCAATCCCACTTGACGGTTTTGACTGGGCTCGAGTTATCGCACCTAAGCCCAGTCAATCCCACTTTAGGCCAGTCTAAGCCACCCTAGTTAGGTTATCCCACCCTAGCCAAGCCCCCACCCTAGTCCAGTGTATTCCTCTCAAGACCAGCCTATTCCATCCTGCCCAACCTATCCAACTCAACCTCAGATTATCCTTCCCAAAAAACTTATCCTAACCCACCATATTGTCTAGCCTATCTCCCCCTAGGCTAACCCCGCTAACTCCTCGTACTGTGTATTGTATACAAGTAATTATCATAAGAAGGCACCAAGCCGGGAAGACTTACGTGGCATCATCAAATGTGCGGGATAATCACCGGTCGCTAAATATCACTAATGATGCCAATACCAGAACAAGTCTTGTATACAAGCCAATTCACTCCTCTTTACTCATTCTACAAAAATAAATTTACTTGATCATGTAAATGATGTCTTATGTTATCCAAGAACTCGCAGCCCGAAAACCGTAGCAATATTTCGGATGCCTGAGGAGCAGCAGCGTATCCGGAAAATGTGTAATGAAGTGAGTTTTTCTCGCTTGAGGACACGGCCAACAACGCCCAGAATTTGCTCATTATCTCTTTGATTAGCGCGGCGCGACGTGCATGTTTACCAGCGCCCTCCGTCAGGGTCCCCTGTCCTCCTGGAGGAAACTGTTGGGCATGTAGGGAGCAGTTGTCCTCTTGCGGGGAACTGTTGGGCATGTAGGGACCAGTTGTCCTCCTGGAGGGAAACAATTAAATATACAACCCAAGCTACTGAGCACACAGCCCAAGTTATCGTACACACAGCCCAAGTTATCGTACACACAGCCCAAGTTATCGTACACACAGCCCAAGTTATCGTACACACAGCCCAAGTTATCGTACTCACAGCCCAAGTTATCGTACACACAGCCCAAGTTATCGTACTCACAGCCCAAGTTATCGTACTCACAGCCCCAGTTATCGTACTCACAGCCCCAGTTATCGTACTCACAGCCCCAGTTATCGTACTCACAGCCCAAGTTATCGTACTCACAGCCCCAGTTATCGTACTCACAGCCCCAGTTCCCCAGTTATCGTACTCACAGACCCAGTTATCGTACTCACAGACCCAGTTATCGTACTCACAGCCCCAGTTATCGTACTCACAGCCCCAGTTATCGTACTCACAGACCCAGTTATCGTACTCACAGCCCCAGTTATCGTACACACAGCCCCAGTTATCGTACACACAGCCCAAGTTATCGTACACACAGCCCAAGTTATCGTACTCACAGCCCCAGTTATCGTACTCACAGCCC